TCATTCAACTGTAGCCTTGATCTTCACCCCCCCTAACAAATTTGTTACTTTAAGGGTGCACTGTACCAACTACAGCCAGGTTCACCCTTAACATCAAGAGCCAATCTAGCATGCTCCACAGTAACAGGTGCTACAGGTTACGGCCCTTATTGACAGCTCTAGCTACCAAGATAATCACATCTATTTGACTATGAATTCCACTTTATATGATAGAAACACTTCGCAGCGCAGTTCATTCAAAATGTGGAAACTTGAAAGGATCAGTTTTTGTGTCCAACATGACTAATAAGCTTATCGAAACAAACAAGTGCCTGCTGTTCTGTTTAGTCTCAGACTAGTAACGTTAAGATAACATAAACCTCCAGGAAGAATACTACATGTACATCTTGTTATGACGAAATTGGACACTTCATCAGTGAAGACATTATAACATCGGTGACAACAAACAATGGAAGAGGTATAGTCAACCACGCCACGATTTGGTGTTCGAGTTTGACCTTCTCAAGGGTGCAACTCCTGTGATCTATGACGTCAGGGAAAGGAAATACGGCCCGTTGAGCAAGACGCATGAAATTCAGTCACGGATACAGGTAATAAATTCCCTTGGTAACAGTACCACATTTAATTACCTAAAATTATTGTGGTCAATGCTCATTTGTTTGAAGTATAAACAAGATTACAAAAGCCCGCATTTGAATGACAATCTTGCTCAATTCTGACATTGCGTCAACATGGGATCGCGCTGATCGGAAAAAGTCTTATTTTGGCGGTTTGAAAGCAACGGTGGTTTTCTCCTCGCAAAATAACTCGAAAACAGAACCTGAAGTAGCTTGAAATAAAACAAGTTAATCTTGTGAACGAATGCTATGATACAGTCTGTCGTCTTGTTTGCATAGACTGTGGTTCAGCTGAGCTATATGCCACACAAAGGAGTCGATTGTGCGAGGATTACAACATTTCTTACCTGCAAAAGTGCAGCCCCTCGTCCTCCACGGCCAGCCATGCCGTTCTAAATACACACTAAAACCTTAAAATGCAGTAAAATTCTAAAATGAATTAAAAAGTGAACAAAACTTACGAGGAAAGGTCTAAACCGATTCAAATGTATACAGAAACACTCGTGGATTTTGAGAAACAGCTAAATTGAATGGCGCCAACAGACCATAATACGATGACATCTCAAATTCAACCAATCACCGCCGAGATTTATCAGTCGGTATGCTATCGTGTTACATCGATTACATTTCGGGAACCTCCGAGAAATTTCGTAATGTGGGTACGCAGCACAGGTCACACAGTTCAAAGCAAGATGTCTTCGGAAAGGGGCGACGGGCGAGCAAAACTAAACATGGAACACGGATTCATGCAGTCGATAATCAAGAATCAAGTGGACAGAGATGAGTATGACAAAGAGCAAAAGCTTTTGAAGGTGCAAAACAAGATTAGCGGTCCATCCCGGAGGGAAAGACCCCGAAGAGCGGATCAACAAGTTTACGTGCCGCCGCATTTGAGGGGGAAAGCTACCCCCGAAACTGAACCAGAGACAAGCTTAAGTGCAGGTGAGTTCCAAATACTAGGCAGCGTTGTTTTTTTATGATTCATCATTCATGTCAATGAATTTTCTTATGGCAGGAAACATGAAAATTAATCCCTCTCACGTGTTGCTTGTTTACAAGCATCCTTTGTGTCATCGAAGTAATTTGAGAACTAATTAGCAGACAACAGCAACAGAGTAAAGGTTTATGCTTATTACAAAAGTTTTTAAAACTATGGTTCATAATTTCCTGTTCCTCAAGTGGGAAACAGGGCCTTAAAAAACTACTGCTCTCTTGTCTTTGGAAGGGGACCTGAAACAGAGATGCATACCAAACAAGAGCCGAGAGCTTGGAGACTACCAATTTTGCATGAAAGTTGCTCCATTTGACCCAGAATAGTGCCTGGCAATACATTGCTACGCTGATACTACTAACCGATAAAGCAGGATCGAAACAGCTGTCCTCTGTTGCGATCCTGCTTTATCGGCTCTTGTCATGTTGGTGTCTCGAAACATCTTTCACGTATTATCAGGCTTGCAGTCTATTGTTTTTCATAATATTTTTTTGGCTGATCAGATCTCTTGTATATCCTA